CCACAGAGAGCTTTGGGGACAGAGTCCTTGTGTATGTTTAAGGCTGAGATCAATAGATTCTTGATCAGTCGGGGAAACGGGAAAGGGTAGGAAAGTGGACGTGAGGAATGTTGGATCAGCCATGATCCTGTTGAATGGTGAGGAGGTGCGAGGGGCTGAATGGCGTACTCCTGCTCTTATTTCTCATGGTCTAGCTTTATAGGTTTCTATATGTCCCCCTTCATTCTCCTCAACTCTAGTGAACGTATCCCAATTGACCCAGTCTCTTTTCAGTTCCTCTGCATCTCCCCGCGCCCCCCCCCCCCCCTCCCACCAACGTCCATCTGTACTTTCCCCCTCCGTTCTCCACCACCCCCCCCAACCCCTGCATTCCCACTGCCTCCCAAACCAGCCTGGATCCCTGCGTTCAGATTATAACTGTCATTGAGTCTATAATGTTTCTCCCTATCTCTCTTGCCACATCACACTTCCTCAACAAGGTATCTAACGTGGAAATAAGATTCACTTCCACATTTGACAATAGATTTTGGATGCGGAGAAGCTTCTAGAATAAATAGGGGTGCTGGAAATCTGACAAAGTGCTGGAGAAACTCATCGGATCTGACAGCATCTATGCAGAAAGAGTGTAACCCTTTTTTTTTCAAACCTGAAAGGTTAACTCCGTTTCTCTCTGCGCAGATGCTGCCAGACCTACTGGGTTACTCCAGCACTTTCTGTTTTAGTTTCAGATTTCCAGCATCCACAATTCTTTGTTTAAATTAATGGAAAAGCTAAGTAGCCCTGTCAGTGTCTGTGCAGAGAAAACCGGGAGAGTTAAATGTTTTGTCATAACTCCATCGAGTTTCTCCTCATTTTGGAACTAAAGGACCTCCCCCTCTATTTTAAATTATGCCTCCTGGTTCCAGGCTCCCCACCCAGGGGAAATATCTGACCCACAGCTACCCTCTCTCTTTTGAAGTAGTTTGTCAGTCTCAATGAGATCACCTCTCAGTCTTCGAAACTCTGATGGATACAGCTCCAATTTGCCCAATCTCTCTCCATGGGTCAGTCCCACCATCCCGGGAACAAATCTGGTGAACCTTCACTGCACTCTCTCGATGGCAGTAATATCCTTCCTGAGGTAAGGAGACACACATGCTCCAGGTGTGGGTCTAACCAAGAGAGATAGCAGGAACTGCCGATGCTGGAGAATCTGAGATAACAAGATGTAGAGCTGGATGAACACAGCAGGCCAGGCAGCATCATAGGAGCAGGAAGGCTGACGTTTTGGGTCTGGATCCTTCTTCAGAAGAAGGGTCAGCTTTCCTGCTGCTCTGATGCTGCCTGGCGTGCTGTGTTCATCCAGCTCCACGCCTTGTTATCTGTAGGTCTAACCAAGCTCCTTTACAATTGAAGCAAGACTTTACTGCTCCTGTACTCAAATTCTCTTGCAATAGAGGCTAACATTCCATTAGCCTTCCTGATAACTTGCTGAACCTGTACACTAGCTTACACAGATCGCCTAGGTGTCTTCATCTACACCTTCCAACCTCTTACTATGTGAGTAATGTTCTGTACATCGATTCTTCATACCAAAGTGGATAACCTCACGATTTCCCACATTCTGTTCCGTCTGCCATGTTCTTGCTCGCTCACTCACATCCTGTCCAAACCCTCCTGAAGCTGTTTTACACCTTCCTGACAGTATACCCTTTGATCGCTTTAGCCCCAAGTGGGTATGGGGAGAAAGTGGGAACAGGGGACTGAGTTGGATGATCAGCCGCGATCATATTGAATGGGGGAGCAGGCTCAAAGGGCCGAATGGCTTGTGGTCCCCACGTCCAAATTATGGATATCATTAATGTAATCTGCAATGTAGCCTGTATGCCTGTAAGTCTTTTTGATCTGTACATCCTTTGCTTGCTGTGATCTGCCTTTACCACTCGTAAACAAAGCTTTTCACTGTATTTTGGTATATGTGACAGTAAAATCAAAATCAAATATGTTTGAACAGCTGAGATTACAACTTCTTAAAGATATTTGGAGAGGTACATGAATAGAAAAGGTCTAGAGCGGGAGACAATGGCCTAGAGATATTATCACTGGACTGTTAATCCAGAGACCCAGGTAATGTTCTGGGGACCTGAGTTCAAATCCTATCATGGCAGATGGTAGAATTTGAATTCAATAAAAATCTGGAATTAGGAGTCTAATGATGACCATAAATACATTGTCAATTGTCAGGAAAAGACCCATCTGGTTCAGTAAGCTCTTTTAGGGAGGGTAACTGCCATCCTTACCTGGTCTGGCTTACATGTGACTCCAGACCCACAGCAATGTGGTTGACTTGGAACTGCCTTCTGGGCAATTAGGGATCGGCAATAAATGCTGGTTTGGCCAGTGATGCCTTCATCTCATGAATGAATAAAACAAAATGGGCCAATCGCAGGAAATTGGGACTAGTTGATCAGCATGGATGAGTTGGGCCGAAGGATCTGTTTCTGTGCAGTATCATTCTATGACCCAAGTATTCTATGCAAAGGAAAGGTACATGGGTGAGAAGGATTTAGAGGGATGGGGACCAAATGCAGGCAATTGGAACTAGCTGAGTGGTCAACATGGACCAGTTTGGGCCAAAGGGCCTGTTTCCATGCTGTATTACTCTACAATTCTAGAGCAACACAAGGATCAGTAGAGTCATAGTCACTAGTCTTGCCAAAATGACAATAACCCATTTCTTCCTGTTCTTTGTTCTGTCTGAGACAGAACAATCATTCATCCATACCAGTACATTACCTCCTAGCTGATGTGTTTGACTTTTATCTAACCAGCCTCCTGCTGTTTAGTGCAGGAAACACAGCAGTCAGTTTACACACACCAATTTCCCAATACGTGTTAACAGCCAGATCATCTGGTTATAGTTGTTATTTGGGAGCTACGTATTGACCAGGGCCCCTGCTCTTCTGTGGAATATTCTGCATCCATCTGCAAGGCCGTGGGGAGTGTCTCCATCCAGAACCTGCTGGGAAGGACGGCCCCTTGGCACCTTAGAATTAGAATGAACTTTATTGTCACATGCACATGAGTTCAGTGAAAAGTTTACAAGTCGCCACTTACAGCACCATTTTGGTTACAAAGATACCTAGATACAGATTCTTAAGCACAAATTCTTAGCGGGGAAAAGGATTTAGAAAAATAAAGAAATGAAAAGTCCAGCATTACAGATCGTAGGAATAAATTAGAAAATCGTGAAATTCCCGGAGCTCGTACTCGAGTGGGATTTGAACACTGAGCGTCAGCTGACTTGGGAGGCGGTATTGCTTCAGTTGGTCTCAGCCTGTGGATGAATAAACTCTGCCCAAGGTTCCTGCCACTGACACCTACTTGTGACTTTGATCAAGGGCAGTGTAGGTGGATTGTCGTCTGATGACGAGGACTGGTTTTACTTTGATGCCTTCAAGGTTTTAACAGTTCAGAGCAGCTGTCAGTTCGTAAAATTGCACATTTGGACAGAGTAGAATTCCTACGGGGTGGAAAGAGGCCATTCAGCCCCTCAAGCCTGTACTGACCCACTTAAGAGCATCCCACTCTCTAATCCCACAATTCCCATGGCTAACCCACCTAACCTGCACATCCCTGAGCACTATGGGTAATTTAGCATGGCCAATCCACTCTAACCTGCGCATCTTTGGACTGTGGGAGGAAACCGGAGCACCCGGAGGAAACTCACGCGGGCACGGGGAGAATGTGCAAACTCTACACAGACAGTCGGCCGAGGGTGGAATCGAACCTGGGTCTCTGGTGCTGTGCGGCAGCAGTGCTAACCCCATTTGCATGACTACTGGCACAAACTGGTGTCTGGTGTTCAGCAATGATTGCGATGGTTTGGCAAAATGCATGCTTGACGAGTTTTTGAAGAGGAGGAGTATTTGGCAATGTAACCAATGCTAACTGGTGAATTGACTGACATCACTGGCCCAGGATATAGATGGAATTGTATCCTAGTAATGAGTATAACGTCATTAACTTCCTTATGTTACAGCAGTGACTACACTTACAGTACCTCATTGGCTGTAAAGCATTTGAAAGTGCAGCAGAAATGCTTTCGTTATTTTAAGTTGCAAATGTCTCCAAGGTTCTTTACCGGCGCATGGACAAATAAACCACTTTGCCTGAATATATCCTCATGTCATTTGGTCGATGTTCCAACAGAGGAAGGATCTAAGCAGTGCTTTTAGAAAGGACAGGGAGGTAGAAGAGAAGGGTTAAGGTGAGAGTTCTAGATTGTTGGATCTTGTCAACTTTTTTTTTAGACCAACCTGAATAGCAGAACAGACTCGATGGACTGAATGGCCAGTGCCTTATAGCTGAGGCCACAGCCAGCGGTTGGAGAATTGGTGAAATAAGCCTTCGGGAACCCAAGGGAAAGACATCAGTTTGGCTTTCAACGTTTGACCAACCCTTGGTGTACAACAGCATGAGGGCCAACAATTTGTTGAAAATTGGGCAAATACTGACCTTGTCACAAAAAAAAACATTATCCATGGACTGAGTGGCTTTCTGAGCCATTTCAGAGGGCAGCTAAGAATGAACCACATTGCTGTGGGTCTGGATTCACATGTAGGCCAGACCAGGTAAGGATGGCAGATTTCCTTCAAAAAGCATTAGTGAACCAGTTGACAAGCAATGACAGCCTCACGGTCACCATTCCTGAGACTAAACTTCCAATTGTGGACTTTTACCAACTAATTGAATTTAAATTCCACCAGTGCCCTTGGTAAGACCTATCCCAGAGCAGTAACCCGAGACTCTGACACATTTCCTTCTCAATATCTTTCTTCCAATGAGACCGTACAACCTATTGTTTCACACGTGTACATGTGGGGTTTTTTTTGTCATTAAAAACCCATCTCATTCACTAGTGTCCTTTTTTGAGAAAGGAAATTTGCCAATTTAACCTGGTCTGACCTACATGTGACTCCAGACCCACAGCAATTGGGCTGACTCATAATTGTTCTGAAATGGGCTCTCGCAAGCCACTCACCTCAAAAGGTAATTAGGGATGGATATCAAATGTCAGCGATGTGATATGGGACATAACTCATCAACAGGAGATAAGACTAGAACAGTTTAGCCGATACTCGTGGTATTGAGGTGTATAAAACCACAAGGGGCATAGATAGGATGAATGTGTATAGTCTTTTTCCCAGGGATGGGGAACTGAGAACTAGAGGGCATAGGTTTAAGGTGAGATGGAAATATTTAAGAAGGACCTGAGGGATGACAGTTTCTCACAGAGAGTGGTGTGTATATGGAATGGGCTGCCAGAGAGAGTGGTTGAGGCAGGTACAAGAGCAACATTTAAAAACATTTTAATAGGTACATGGATAGGGAAGCGTTTAGAGGGATATAGACTGATGCAGGCAATTGGAACTAGCTGAGTGGGCACCAGGGTCAGCATGGACCAGTTTGGGCTGAAGGGCCTGTTTCCATGCTGTATTACTCTGACTGTATAATGCTGAGATTGTACAGAGGAGGGAGTGCAGAGGAGATTCACCAGGAAGGTGCCTGGTATGGAACATTTTAGCGATGAAGAGAGGCTGGATAAGCTCTTTCTAAGAAAAGGTATGATGGACTGAATGGCCTCCCAATGTGCTGAATGTAGAGCCTCACCTGCCCCTGGCTGTTCCCCGAGGCTCTGCAAACATCGCTTTGCAGGGACTGTCCTTGAGTAGAGGTCTGTAGTAATCTGCGGGCATCCTAAAGTGTTCTCTTCTTTTGCAGTTGGCTTTGATGACTGTTTCCAAGGTTTGGCGGTACAGTTTGAAACGAATAACCGGAGTTTCAGGGTCCAGCGCGATGGTGTGGTGTATGCAACTGAAAACATTCACCTCTCCGGGAAACAGCTGAAGTTTGTGGTCACAGCACGGAGAATGGAGAGCCCTGAACAATGGAAAACTGTTGTCAAATTGACCGTGAAACCTGAAGGAAGCACCAGGCAGAAAGGACAGCAGGTACCTCCTCATTATGCTGAACGGCAACAATGCCACACGCACGGGTGCTAAAGTCTCTTTTCCAGCTTCAATTCCTTCTCTTCCCGACATTTAAGTCCACAGGGAATAGGAGTAGGCCATTCATCCCCTCGAGCCTGCACCACCATTCAATCGCGTGATGGCTGATCCAACATTCCTCACTTCCCACTACCCTTTCCCTTGATTTTTCCCAACTGATCAAGAATCTATCTATCTCGGCCTTAAACATACACAAGGACTCTGCCCCACCAGCTCTCTGTGGCAAGGACTTCCAAAGACACTCAATCCTGTGAGAGAAGAAATTCCTCCTCATCTCAGTCTGAAATTGGTGCCCCTTTATTCTGAGACTGTGCCCTCTGGTCCTAGACTCTCCCTTGAGGGGAAGTGTCCTCTCAGCATTTACCCTGTCAAGCCCCTTCAATCTGATCTGCCATATTCCAGCAACCTGTCGCTCGGGATAAAGGTTAATATGAGACCCTCGAGCGTATTGCTGCTCTTCTGACCCCAACTGCAGTCTTGGTTCCATTTTATTTAATGCCCTTGTTCAAAAAACCTCCTGATTAATGCACACTGGCTTTGCCTTGAATGGAGATGGCAGGTGAATTATTCATCGGGGGAGAGTTTCATGTGGCTTTCGAGCCTTCGCATGAAGCGGTTTATCCTAATTTCTCTTCTGTAGACATGACTCTGAATTTAAGGATATGTTCCCTGCCAGTAGACAGTGTCTCACTATTCACCCCATTGATTGTTGTTTTAGGAGTTTGAAAGCAATCACACAGTCTTGACTCCCACCGCCCCCCCCCCAAAATATTTCATGTTGCTGTAGTGTGAGCCTTGAGCAATGTCCTCATTCACTACTGCTAACACTCCCTCTTCCCACCACCAACACACAGCCACAGCAGTGTGTACCATCTACAAGATCCACTGCAGAAATTCAACAAAACTCTTTCAACACCATTGCCAAAACTTGTGACCTCTATTCCCTAGAAGGACAAGGGCAGCAGATACATGGGAACACCACCCCCTGCAAGTTCCCCTCCAAGTCACTCACCATCCTGACTTGGAAATATATCGCCGTTCCTTCACTGCTGCTGGGTCACAATCCTGGAATTCCCTCCCTAAGGGCATTGTGGGCTTTCTGAAGTAGGGCCAGTGGACCTGAAACATTAACTCTGCTCTGTCTCCACAGATCTGCAAAATCTTTCCAGCAACTTCTCTTATTGTTCCTGTTTTTCAGCATCTGCAGTTCTTTAAGTTTTTATTAGTTTAGCATGGTGGTTATGACAATTCCAGGATGTTTTGATCAAAGTTTGGAAAATATTTAGCAGAGATTTGGAGGGATATTAGAAAGCAACTTTTCCACAGGCTGGGGAGGGAGTCTCATGCAGTGAGCTAAAGGAAAGTAAGTGTCCAATGGAACTCTTAGCACAGTTTGGATGATTGAATAAATGCTTTCTAACAGCAGAATCCCATCTAATGCCATGTGCTAAAAGCTACATAGATAAATACTCAGGACCCTGTTTAATGGAGACAAAAGCAATTTGTATAAACATCTTGCAAAGAAAAGGGGATCATGGAGATGGCCAAACTTGCTGCATCTCCGTGACAATGGCCTAACCAATCAAAATCTACCTAGCTCTGAAAAGTTTCATTGACTAGTCGTTTTTTAAGCAATGTTTAAATTGTGTACCGGCCAAGTGATTGATTGATTGTTCTGTTGTTGGTTGATATGTACATTGCCTCATTAGCCATGGCCCTTGTCCCTGTGCCAAATGAACCCAACGCTAGTTAAACCTCCTCTTCCCCCAACCCCTTGAAGAACATTGGTCCCAGCCCTTGCTCAGGTGAAGCATATCTGGTTAGAGCTGGTCCCAGCACCTCTTGTGCTAATGTCCTTGCCTCTGAGCTAGGAGGCCCAGGTTCACACCCACCTGCTCCAGAGCTGCCTAATAATATCAAGGCTCTTGTGGCACAGTGGTAGTGCCCCCTCCTCTGAGTCAGGAAAGCTCGGTTCAATTTGCCCCAGAGGTGTGCAGCAGCAGCAGATTGATGAGAAAAATATCCAAGTGAATCAGAAATCCCTTCTTAGTCAGTGAGGGATTGTCGGTTGTGCGTAAATGGAAGTTGTTGTGCTGTGGAATTCTCTGTCACAGAAAGCGGTTGAGGCCAAACTAGAGTGTTTTCAAGAAGGTAGATATAGCTTTTTCTGGTTAAACGGATCGAAGGGTATCGGGAGAAAGTGGGACTAGGGCACTGAGTTGGATGATCGCACTGAATGGTGGAGCATGCCTGAAGGGCCGAATGGCCTACTCCTGCTTCAAGTTTCTATGCTTCACCCTTGATATTGTCAAACCGACCGCTGTGTGGAACTGCTTTGGAATTTGAACGAAGCAACAAGCCATTCTGCCTGTATGGCCAGGCCGACATGCAACAAAGAAATAAAAGCAGCACAAATTAAATCATCTTGACCCTGTGAGTGGTCATGTTCTCAAATGCACTGTCTGAGTGTACGGTCAAGGCTTTCAAAAGGGATTTGGATGGCTATCTGAACAGGAAGAGTTGGCAGGTTATGGGGAGGAAACAGGAGAACTGGTAAATTGCTGACCAGGAGAGCTGGCGCAGACTCAGTGGGCCGAATGGCCTCTCTTCTGTGCCGTGATGATTCTGTGAGCTGGTTCATGCTGGTGTTTGTGCATCTTGGGAGCTTTTCCCCAGTTCTGTCTCCCTTTTTGTGTGTGTGTGTGTGTGTGTGTGTGTGTGTGTGTGTGTGTGTTTTTGTAGCTCACTCGGCAGGTTGTTGGTTCAAGACCTGGTGGGGCGCTTCCAGACTGACAGCGCTGAAACATTCAGGAGAATGATTGGAAGGTTGGGGAAAGTCAGTCATGTCAAAAAAGACCTGGGACGGTTCTGCACGGGGAAGAAAAGGCTGAGAGGAGATTTGATAGAGGTGTTTAAAAATTCATGGAAGACCTGGGCAGTGTAGATAGGGAGAAATTGTATTCCCAGTGGTGGAAGGATTGAGGACCAGAGGAGGAGGCTTTATAGTTATCGGCAAAAGAAGCACATTTAAAGAACAGTCACTTCCTCTGTTCAGGGTTAAGAAGCAAGTTTAGAATCTGGAATGCTGTGCCCGAGTGTGTGGTGGAGGCAGATTCTGACGAAGCTTTCAGATGGGAATGGGATCATCTGTAAGGGGGGAGACATGCAGAGAGTAGGTGGGGACATGTCATGGGATGAAGCATTCCTTTAAAGGGCCAGTATGGGAACGATAGGCTGAGTGGGCTCAACTGTAAACAAATAAAAAGTTGTTGCCAGTTGAGAAGTCTCAGACTGGGGGTTCTGGGGGGGTGGGGGAGAGGGGAGAGAGTCGTTATAGACTAAAAATTGGAGCCATGCCTCCTTACGAGTGGAATTATGGAAAGGTTTAACGTAGGAGTGGCAATTTGTGCTCAATAATTAATTGTTGAGTGGAGATGGTAAGGCAGAATTTCAGGGTGACTCTTGGCTAATGCTTTGGGTTTGAATTGAACTCGCCACTGCAGACGGGGAAATTTAAATTCAGTAGAAGCTGGAAATAAAAAAAAATCTGCTGAAGTGTGACCATGTAACCACTGTCATTTGTCGCAAAAACCCATCTTGTTCACTCGTGTCCTTTAGGGAAGGAAACTGACATTCTTACCTGGTCTGGTCTACGTGTGACTCCAGACCCACAGCAATGTTGTTGATGCTGAACTGCCCCCTGGGCAATTAGGGATGGGCAATAAATACCTGTCAAGTTGGCAATGCCCAAACACCTACTTACCAACCTTGTCTGGCTTGCATGTGCCTTCAGACCCCCAGCAATGTGTTTAATTCTTAACTACCCTTGGGGTAATTAGGGATGGGCAATAACTGCTGGCCCATATCCCATGAATGAATTCTATTTTTTTAAGAATTGAAGATGGTAGACTTTTAACAGTCTTTTTTGGGTCATGGATCAGCTATGATCTCATTGAATGGTGGCACAGGTTTGAGGGGCTGAATGGCCACCTACTCTTCCTACCTTCCTGTGAATTTTGACCGTCTCCCATCCTTGCAAGCGTAACGTTATCGCCAGTTGGTGAGCCAGGATTATCGCGGCATGGTAAGTTTTTTTTTTTGTTAGCTGCAGCTAGCCTTCCCCGTCAAACGTGTGAAACCTTTAATATCTTTCGTATATTTTGTGACACTTCTCAATGCTAGAATCAGCTTTATTGTCACATGTACTCACATGAGCACAGTGAAAAGTTTACAAGCACCATCTTGGGTACAAGGTACCTAGGTAAAGATTCTTCAGTACTTCGTCAAATGGACTATTGATGCACTAACTAACTGTGAATATTTGTTGGCCATTCTATCAATCAAAAGGGACCAGATTTGGGACTTGCACAAACATCAGCTTGCTCGGAGGTGTACTTGTGCTGCTATTCAAATGCAGCTGTCAGGTGGCACCATTGCACATTGGCTTGTGTCAGCTTCAGTTCTTCGAACCCATCTCATCCTATGGACTTGTAGAGACCAACACCCCCAGTGTGGTGGGGGCGGGTGTGAACTGAAGATTTATGCGTACACATTGTCTAAAAACAATATATGTACAGACACTTGGAGCAACTGCTCTGTAGGGGTGTCAGAAAAATGTGGGAGAAGTTAGAATGTGGAATCTGCTTCCTCAAGAGCTACTTGAGGCATTAGTGTCCATATTGCTGAAGGGGATGTTGGATAAATAGATAGAAATAGGAACAGGAGTAGGCCATTCCCTCAAGCCTGTTCGCCATTCAATAGGATCATAGCTGATCCAACATTCCTCGTGTCCACTTTCCTGCCCTTTCCCTTCATTCCCGGACTGATCAAGAATCTATCAATCTCAGCCTTAAATATACACAAGGCCTGTGCTCCTCTTCTCCCCCCACCCCCGCTACGCACACGCACACGCACACACATTTACATACATATACATATATACACACGCACACACACACAGCTCTCAGTCCTCAGAAAAGAAACTCCCCCTCCCCCTCACGAGCACGATGTGTCCCTTAGCATTTACCCTGTCAGGCCCCTTAATCCTGTCCATTTCAATAAGATCACCTCTCGTTCTAAACTCCAGTGAGTAAGGTCACAACCTGTTTAGCCTTTGTTCAGAAGACGATGCCTTCATACTAACCTAATGAACTTTCTCTGAACTGCCTCCAATGAAACAATATCTTTCCTTAAATAAGGGGAGCTGAACTGCTCACAGTACTCCAGATGTGTCTCACCAGCACCTTGTACAGATGCAGTAAAACTTTCCCCCCCACTCATACTCCAACCCCCTTTGAATTGCAGAGCAGGCCTGAGGGTTTGAATGGACCGTGTTTAATTGAGGGGCTATGCAGAACGGACAAACTTGAGATTGCTACAGAGAGGAGGGGTTCATGTTGAGAAATGAAACCAGGTTCACTTCTTGTGATGAGACTGCAGACAGTTACTTCAGGTCAATTACTCGGCCCTTATCTTCGCTGCAGCCCATACAGACAACATCCACCGCTCTGCCTTCTTCAGAAACCTCAATCAAGTTAGTGAGACACGATTTCCCACGCACAAAGCCATTGCTGACGATCCCTAATCAGTCCCTGCCTTTCCAAATGCATGTAAATCCCTTCCAACAGCGTACCCACTGCTGACATCAGGCACACCGGTCTATGGTTCCCTGGCTTTGCAGTTTGTTTCTTCTCTCTTAGTGAAGTTCGACCGGAATAACTCCTTCACTTCACCCCCTATTTCATCCTTCATTTCTCTCACTTTATTTTGAGTTTGTGTTTTTCTCCCAGGCACTCTTTATTTTTATTATTAATTGAGCAGGAGGAGCTTTGTGTGAGATGTGGACTCCAGCACAGACTGGTTGGGTCAAATGGCCGGTTTCTTTGCTGAAATTCGATACAACTCCTTCATCGATTTGGCCAAATTGGCATGCAGTGCGTCCTCCAATATCTCGCCCCTTTGTGAATGCCACGGTCATGTTCGATGCAATCCTCCCACTCCACCCCAACATCCGATTTCCAGTTGGGCCTTGGGGGAATCAAAGCTGGCAGGTCTGGGCTGTCATTGCCATTTTCCAGAACCTGGTTATCACTTTGTGCCTAAATACTACTACAATATGATGAGGGTTTCTGTCTCTCCCGCTCTTAGAGGCAGTGAGTTCCAGATTCCTACCACCCTTCTGGGTGGGAAGAAAACGAGATTCCTCACGTCCCCTCCAAGCCTCCTGCCCCTTCCTTTAAATCCGTGTCCCCTGTTTCTGCAGTAATTGTTTGGTTTTGCTCTCTGGCTAAGACTGGAGTGCTGACACTCTGTAAAATCCAGATGGCCCGTGCACAGGATATTTACTTGACCAGTGACAGAGCCCAAGTGGTTTATTTTATATCGCCCAATGGCTCACCGGCCAAAAACTTGTTGATGGAAATAGATGAAGTTTTTAAAATTGTTGTAATGACACTTCTGATGACTCTCGTACACCCCAATGTTAGCTTTAAGACATTCTCTCGGAAGTAGGAGGGTCGAGGCCTTCACACACTCCAGCTGTTCAGATTCTCTGTTTTTTTTGAGTCATTCTGTGCTGCAAATGTGCATTCAAATGAAACCAAACATTTATGACTTCGTTCAGCATTAATGAAAGGGTGCCATTTTATATCAAGGGGTTTTGGGCGCTTTTGTTTTTCCCAAGAACTGAAGCAGTTAGGCCTTGTAGCATCATCCCTTTGTCCATTTAATGGCAGAGGTTTTTGTTTCTTTTGACTTTCCCTGACATCTCTGTCTTTGCCAAAGCCTTGATGACTAGCATTCCCTGTGTTCAAACACGCACAGTCCTGAGGGGACTGGGTACCAGGACGATGCTTTGTCTTGTGGTGGAGACTAGAGCTAGAACACGGAGATTGAGGAGAAGAAAGACAGACAGGAAATGTTCTTCTTGCCCTGAAGGCAGAGAGAGGCAGAGTGTGTGAATTTGAGAATTGGCATAGGAAAAGGCCAGACTTGGAGGACTGTGGGGCTAGAGGATTACTGGGGAGGGGAGGAGCGAGGCCATTGAGGGATCTAAAATTGAGGCTGAGAATTTTTAAAATGAAGATGTTATTGGATTGGGATTCGTTGTGGATCAGCAAGCACTGGGATTTGAGAAGCATCCTGAAGGATTTGGCATGAATAGAGAGGATGAGGAATTGACGGTGACAGAACGTCTGAAAGCTCATTACAAAGGGTACAAGGGTCATTCAGGAATAATCGAAACTTCCAGAGATGAGAATAAACACCTGATGTGTAACCCTCTAATTTGTCAACGTTTAACCGGAAATGCACTGTCTAAACTAATACCAAATATCCTGCATGCTCACTCACCAACATTACAATTCAAGTCTCAGCCTCAAATAATTGATTCAGTTCTGACAAAAGGCCATTGGATGGTCATATAGATGCTGAATGTTCGGTGTATTGGCAAGGTTTTTGCTTTGTTTCTAATTTCTAGTAATTTTCTCTCTGTCCCTCTCTCTTTCTTTACCCTTTCTTTCTCATTCTCCTTCGTTCCCATTCTCTCTCTCTTTCTTTCATTCTCTCTCCCTCACTCTCATTCTCTTTCTCATTGTTTCTCTTTTCAGAATCCTCTCTCCCTTGCATTCTCTCTCTGAGAATGAGGCGCTGTTTAGGGAGTCTCGGACTGGGGAGCATTCTCTGAAAGTTAGAGCCTAGTTTTTAGGAGTTGACAGGAAGAAATATGGGGTAGGCGTTTGGAATCCTCTTCTGTAAGAGTCTTGGGTTTAATTGCTATAAAACAGATGGTCTGATCAATGCATTGACCCAGATCCTTCTATTGTCTCAATAAAGTTCAATCCTGTTTCCAACCAAATACTTCTCCTGTTCTTTTTAATCAATTCTATCCTCGCTGAAGGGGAGAGATTCTGAGAAATTTCTTGATGCTGAGGGCTCTTTAGTGTTTTTGCCTCGATTACACATTCTCTAAAAGAAATCCCAGCGTTGTAGCTGGTGGCATTCCAATTCAATTTACAAAGAAATGTGGAATCGAAAGCTTACCTCAGTGACCACAGAGCCATCATTTAATTGTTAGAGAATCCCATCTGGTACACTCAGTTATACAGTCATACAGCATGGAAACAGACCCTTCGGTCCAACCAGTCCATACTGATCATAATCCCAAACTAAACTAGTCCCACTACCTGCTCCTGGCCCATATCCCTCCCATCCTTTCCCATTCATGTACTTATCCAAATGTCTTTTAAATGTTGTAACTGTACCCACGTCCACCACTTCCTCAGGAAATTCATTCCACACGCGAACCACCCTCAGTGTAAAAAAATTTGCCTCTCGTGTCTCTTTTTTTAAAAATATCTCTCCTCTCACTTTAAAAATGTGTCTCCTGGTCTTGAAATCCCCCCATCCTAGGGAAAAGGCAGCTACCATTAACTCTGTCTATAGTCTTCATTACCCTATAAACGTCTATAACGTCGCCTCTCAACCGTCTACAGGATTAGAAGCAGCAGTCCACCTCAAACTATCTCCACCATTTAATACGATCATGGCTGATCTCATCTCGGCCTCAACTCCACTTTCCTGCCTGCTCCCTATAACCCTTTAACCTGTTACTAATTAAAAATCTGTTTCCTCCTTCTTCAATGTCCCAGCACCCACTGCATTCTGAGGGGGTGTGAAGTCCACTGATACACCACCCTTTGCGAGAAACAATTCCTTCCCATCTTCTACTCACTCTACCTGGTCGGATCTGCACACGACTCCAGACCAACAGCAATGTTGTTGACTCTTAACTGCTTCTGGAATGGCCCAGCAAGATACTCAAATCAAGGGTAATTGGGGATGGGTAATGAATGTTTGGAGTTGCCAGGAGCCCCCACATCTCATGTGAACAAGACTGAGCCACCAGGTATAGTCTGACCAAACCCCATGTACCATTGAAGCAACGATTTGTCTTTCGAGAGGAAATTGGACAGGCTGGGCCTGTACTCATTGGAGTTTAGAAGCCTGAGAGACAATTTTATTGAGAAACCAGATTCTTTGGGGGCTTGACATGGTAGATGCCGAGAGGATGCCTCCCTGCTCTTGAGGGAATCTGGGATAAATGTTTAAAAATCAGGGTGGGAGTGTCTCTTTTTGTCTTTGTCTAAGATGAGGAGTTTTTGGAATTCCCTTTCCTAGAAAGTAGTGGAGGTTGGGACATTGAATTTATTCAAGGCCAAGCTAAACAGATTTGTGATTTCAGGAACAGGGAAGTGGCGATGTGACTTTAAAATCAGCCATGGCTATCTTGCTGAATGGTGGAGCAGGCTCAATGGGCCGAACGGCCTACTCCTCATTGTTGTGTTCTTAAGAATTCTGCCAGAGCATACATTAGGGGAAGTGATGGCCTAATGGTATTATCGCTGGACTGTTAATCCAGACATCCAGGTAATGTTCTGGGGATTCAGGTTCAACTCCTACCACGGTGGATGGTGGAATTTAAATTCAATAAATATCTGGAATTAAGAGTCTAATGATGACCATGAATCCTTTGCCGATTGGAAAAACCCATCTGGTTCACTAATGTCCCTTAGGGAAGGAAACTGGCATCCTTACCTGGTCTGGCCTACATGTGACTCCAGACCCACAGCAATGTGGTTGACTCTGAACTGCCCCCTGGGTAATTCGGGATGAGCAATAAATGCTGGCTAGCCAGTGACGCCCTCATCCCGTTAATGAGTAATAAAAAATGGATTGTTCACAAGGAAAGCTATTCTGGAAGGGCTGAAGCCAAAATATTTGTTTGCCTATTATCAGCGAGAATCAGATATATTCATTCAGATTCAAGTATGCTAATTTGCTGTTTACTTTATCTTTTTTTTTGTCTAATTACAGACTTGGAAGCCGAGTAATGCTGTCCTACCTCAGAACGTTCCGGACATCTTTTTCCCACGATTCCAGCCGGAATACCCGGGTCATCTGAAACGTCAGAAGAGAGACTGGGTCATTCCACCAATCAATGTTCCTGAAAATTCTCGTGGTCCCTTCCCTCAGGACTTGGTCACGGTAAGAGGCTGTTTCTAGCCCATCACCTCAACTGGGGAAAGGCAGAGAAAACTGGGATGTGGTGGTAGTGTCACCGGGTCAGTAATCCGGAGGCAGAGACTAATACTCTGGGGACATTACTTCAGTTCCTTCCACAGCATCTTATGGAAGCTAAATTCATTCAATAACCAACAAGAGTCTGAAATATGAAACTAGAAATAGAATCAGCTTTACTGTCGCATCTACTCCCGTGGGTACAGTGAAATGTTTACACGTCACCACTGACAGCGCCATCTTGGGTACAAGGTACCCAGGTACAGATACTTAAGTATTTAGCGTAAAATGGAAAGAGTAATCAATAAAAAGTCTAGCATAAGAATAAAAAAGAAAAATCAAAAAATGAATGTATACATTTATGGTCCTTCCAACCCAGTCCATGTCGGCCCCTCACCTCCAGACCACACTTGGCCAAGTGTCCAGACCAGAGTGGGCTTTGAAACACGAGGCCTTGCCTCCAGCCTACAGAGGCGAGGGGGTCTCACCCCCTCGCGATAGTTCCCAGCCTGCATCTGTTGGCGGGGCTCCCACCACCTTGCAATGGCTCCCAGCCCACATGTGTAAGGGGGTGGGGGTGTCTCCCCCCACCACGACAGCATCCAGCCCACGCGGGGGTGGGGTATGTCTCACCCCCTCGTGACAGCCTCCAGCCCGTACGGGGGAGGGGCTGGGGGGTCTTACCCCTTCATGATGGCCCCTAGCCCACATGGGGGAGGTCTCACCCCCTCGCCATGGCTCCCAGCCTGTGCACGAGTGGTAGTGGGGTCTCGCCCCCTCACAATGGCCCCCAGCCCACTGGGGGGACCTTGCTTCCGTTCCCAACCAATTCATTCCGAATAAGTTTTTAAAAAGATTTAAAACAAAAAACACACAAAGAAAACAAGAAGCGAGCAGGCAGAGCAGGCTAGCCTTGGTCTCGGCTATCGTGAGACTACCATCGACCATTGTAGGAAACACGTTCAGTTCACTCGTGTGCTTTCTGGCCTAGGTGTGCCATCCAAAATGACTACCTCATAACACCCAAGTGCTGGGAAGCAGGACTTGAGCAGACTTGATGGACCAAAGGGTCTCTCCTCTACTGTATGATTCTATGTGACTCCAGACTAATTCAGGCTAATGCTTTGGGGGCATGAAATTTGAATTGAATTATTTAAAAAAACAAACTGGGTTAAATATCAACCACATAACTGTCAACCATCGTAAAAACCCATCTGATTCACTTTGGGGAGGGGGAATCTCCCATCCTTACCCAGTCTGGGCCTATATGTGACTCCAGACCCACAGCAATGTGGTTGACTCTTGACTGCCCACTGGGCAGTTAGGGATGGAATAATAGATGCTGGCCTAGCCAGCAACAGCCCACGTCCCATAAGCAAATCTATACAAAAATACCGAGTTTGCAGAACCGTTTTTGCTGCGATGATAGAAGCACAAAGTGCTGGAGAAACTCAGCAGGTCCAACAGCATCAGAGGGAGAAAAACAAAGTTCATGTTTCTTCATTATGTCCTTCAGAACTCTGGACTGTGACGTATTGGGTCAGAGTCTTACAGCACGGAAACAGGGCCTCTGGCCCAACTTGTCCATATACCAACCTGGTTCCCTAAACTGTCTGTCTGCTCTCCCACCTATCCGCTCCACCATCTACCTGCTATCACCGCAACCCCCTCTATTTATTTCAGAGCACCC